CAAGGTGCAATTCAGCATAGAAGTTAAAACAAAATCGCTATGACAGGGCTGCATATAAGGAAGTCCCTTGAGATCCTGCTTTACATTTCTGCTGCGTTTTTGCTTCTTCTCAGACACTCAGCATATGATCATTTATAATGCAAATTTGGTTCCACTTTAAGGGCTGCTAAGTAGCGCAGTTGTAGAACTGCTGCCTTGCAGCAAGAAGGTTCTGGGTGTGATTCTTGGCCTGAGATCTTTTTGCATGGAGTTGCATGTTCTCCATGAGTATGCATGGGTTCTCTCCAAGTTCTCCGGCTTCCTCCCACAGTCCAAAAACATGACTTTCAAGTTAATTTGGCTTCTCTAAATTCTCCCTAGGTGTGAGTGTGTGTGTGTGAATGGTTGTTTGTCTCTTTTTTTCCCTGCAATGGGCTGGGGTCCTGTCCAGGGTGTACCCCGCCTCTCACACATTGACACCTGGAGATAGGCACCAGCACCCATTGCAACCCCACTTTGGATGTGTGATGGATGGATGGTTCCATTTTAATGGGTTTTTTAACAGCACTGAAACAAATTTTATACTCACACTCCACATTTATGTGAACAGATGAAGAGTTGATCCGTCCACATTTATTCTCAGCTCTACAATAGTAGGTCCCGCTGTCCGCAGACCTAACAGCAGGGAAGAAAAACACACCTCTATGTCCTACAGGCATCATTAGGTTGTCTTTGTACCAACTGTAGGAAGGTTCTGGGTTAGCATCACTGCTGCAGGTCAGAGTCACTGAACCTCCCACCACTATCTCACCAGGAGGATTCACAGAGACAGAGGGGAGCCTTGGAGGATCTGCAGGAGAATAAATCACATTTAGACAAGTTATATCAAACAGCTATGTTTTAAAGTCATTATTGAAAAATTGTTTCTCAAATAATCTGTTTGTGACACATTTTCAATGTTGGGACTAATCTAATTGCATACATTTGAGGACAAACTGCAACTGAAAGATCCTTGTAAATGTATAATGGCAACAGCATATCAACTGTGAAACCCAAAATGCTGCATCCAAACCTTTCCTCCTGTCCCGATTTTCATTCATAAGAATGTTTTTAAGCTGAGTTTGTGAGGACATTAAAAGAAAAATTGAAAATAACCGAACAAGGCTGGTAATTAGAAATACAAACCTGTAACATATAATTGGATTCCTGGTTGACCAGTATAGCTTCCACCTTTTAGGTCGGTAATGAACCTAAACTTGTAAACAGCTGAGTCGCTCTCTTTCAGGTCTATAATTGTCAAAGTGCAGCTTTTCTTCTTTTCATCACAGCTGTTTTTTGCACGACCTGCAAACGGCCCTTTCTTCTCACTTACAGGATCTTTATCAGTTTTAGTAAACCAAAGTTTGTCCGTAACCAAAATGTTTTTTATCTTATTTTTACTTGTTGGATGACTATAATTGCACTGCATTTGCACTGTTGATCCTTTTACAGCACAGATTGATTTAACTTTGTATGTCACTCCCCAGCCATTGTTACTCTGCAGGCCTCCTTCTGTAACACAGAACACACCAGAAACACATGTAGGGATAAAACACAATGTTTTTCATTCTAGCGTGACTTCTTGAAAGAAACAGAAACAGACTAAAGTAATAATTATAAACAATCAACTTGAGCTTTTTAAGTGTGAACATTTTGTTTTGTGACCATTTCTATGGTTCCTACAAAACCCAATAAATCTTCTGAGTCACTAGTGATGTTTTAAGTTTGTAAAAGAAAAGTTCAGAGTATCTCATGCTATTTCAACATAACTCCTGCAGCAGAGAGGAAATACGAGACCAAGATATTATCTATACAAACAACGTTTTAGATTTAGGAAAGAGAATTAAGCAATTTTTCTTTTTAGTTACTCAACATAGGTTCTTATGTAAATACCACAAACGTGTAAAACACAGGGTTTGCTCTGTACCCAGCTTATTGACACAGAACCGAAACTTCTGCAGAATGACCAGATCTAGCAAAATGATCTAGCTTTTTCTGCTTCCTTAAAGACATTTAACTTGTCTTTAGAAACATTTTTTAAAGCGTCTCAAAAAAAGTAGCAACAGAGAAATTATTAGAATGTGGAAAAGGATTATACTCAGACCTTTAAACCCACGGTAGAAGAATAAAAAAACTTTTTTAA